TCGAGATAATTTAATTTGCGATAATTTGTGTAAAAACGACGATGAGTGGATACGCTGAAGTTCGGTTGATCACTAAATTTAATATTTCAATAATTTCTCTTAGAACCTAACTTATGCTAAGGTGGCGAGAGACGGGGCGAATTCGCAAGAGCGAACGGATGAAAGCTTTATTGGCCCCCGCGCTCGCCCTACAACAAGTAACTGCAAATACAAGCGCCAAGTGCGCAAACACCGCCCCCTCTGAAGGGACGACGTCCTTCAGCCCAGAACGGGCAACAGAGCCAGTCGGTGGACTGCTTGCCGATACTCCTCCTCCTGCGTCCTGACGTCCGCCACGCGAACCTTGCTATCGTGCACCGCTACCACTCGTCCAATCCGCCACTGCTGGGGCGGATGGTTGTCTCCTGCGACGACGACGAGCGCCGCCTCGACGATGTTGGGCTCCCCCTGGTGCCACTTGGACCGCTGCTGGAGGCTGGAGATGTACTCCCAGGACTATCGCTGCCAAAACTTGTGCCTGAGAGACGAGACACCTCGCCATCGTCGCAAGCAGGTCAGGCTGATCTGGTCCGGGAGCGACGCTGATGGTGGGGCCAGAAGAGGGCCGCCCATGAGCAAATGACCGGGGGTCAGGGCTTCGCCGTCGTTCGGGTCGCTGCTAAGAGCTCCGAGGGCATGAAGTTGAGCACGGCCGCCACGCTGGTGAGCAGAGTTCCCAGCTCCTCCGCGGTCAACAGGTCTTGGCCTACCGTTCGAATGAACGGAACGACTTCACACCTGCCTCCCATAGTCCGCCGAAGTGCGGTGCTCTGGGCGGTATGAACGCAAACTCGCATCCTATTTTTGATGCGAATGTTTCGATACCGCCTCCCTGCTCCTCCAGACGTTCTCGGAACTCTCTCATGTGCTGATCTGCGCCGACAAAGTTGGTGGCGTTGTCGCACCGCACCTTCTCCGGAATCCCGCGACGACTCACGAACCTTTGAAATGCCAACAAGAACGCATCATTGGTTAGGTCAGACACTAATTTTAAGTGGACTGCTTTGGACGCAAAACAGACGAACAAGGCCACGTACGACTTGTACGGTGGCTTACTACGGATACGATACGTTGTGCTAAAGGGACCACAAAAACCAACGCCACAAATATTGAACGGGCGGAGAGCTCGAAGTCTATCTTCTGGCAAGTTCCCCATAATTTGCGTCAAGAGTTGCGGCTTGCAGCGAAAGCAGCGCATGCACGACCGAACTGTTCGTCGGCAGACTTCTTGAGCATTAACTGGCCATATTTTGACAATTCGTAACGTGCAGGTATGATACATAGGATCTGACGAACTGTGAGCTTTTAGACAGCAACAACGGGAATTTGGCTTCGTTCTGGATTGGAGCGTTCAATAACCGACCCCCAACTCGTAGCAATGTCGAGGAACATCAATCTAATTTATTTTCCTGAAGAAAAGGGTTTAACTTTTGAATATTTGTTGCTAGGTTTATTTTTCCGAATTTTACTTATGTCGTCCCTAAATTCGTGGAATTGGATAACTTCGACAATTTTCTCAAAAGCGAAATCCAGTTCTCTTGGCAAAATACTTTTTTTTAAAGGGCTTTGTCAACTTTCAGCACCTTTGAATAAAAGGAAAAACCCACACGAACACTCTCAGAAGCTCCAGGTGCGACGAAAAGGACTCTATTTTCTGAAGCAAATAATTTGGCTCTGGGCTGAAACCGAGAGCTATTGCCGATTTGTGTAGCTCCTTCGACATTACATCAGCCGGCAGTTCGAAATTTTTATTTACAGGCCAATTATTTCTGAGTCTAGCAAGAAGGAAGGCCCACCGAACCAAATGGACGTTGTAAGCTCCTCTGCGTCACATCCGCGGGACACTATGTCTGCTGGGTTGACTTTCGTGGGAGCGTGTCTCCAAATTGCTTTCTCCGACCACTCGTGAATTTCTGCAACCCGGTTCGAAACAAAAACCGACAACGACGAGGGATGGGTTTTGATCCAGTGTAAAGTGATCACTGTCCACAGAAATACATTCTCAATGGGATCATTTAGCAATGGCCTGACACGATTATGAGATCTGCTAAAAGGTGAGCTGCACACAGCTCAAGGCGAGGCAAAGTTTTCGTCTTTAGGGGAGCTACTTTCGATTTGGCGGTCAATAAAGACGCTTTCAAACCTTCAGCAATTTGAGTACGAACGTGGATGCAAGCTCCATACGCTCGCATGGAAGCGTCAGCGAAGCCATGTTTTTGAATCGGGACCTGTGGATCTGTGTTGACGAATCGCGATACCTTAATTTTCGGCAGCTGCAGAAGCGTCGCTTTAAACGTCTCCCACGATGTAAGCAACTGCATCGGTAGCGACTCGTCCCAATCTAATTTTCGAAGCCACAGTTCCTGCAACAACATCTTTGCCTTTGTGACCAAAGGACACAAGAGACCAAGTGGGTCGAAAAGTCGAGCAGTCACCGACAAAATATTTCGCTTTGTCGCGCGAAGATCTAGGAAAGAGTCAACCAACCGAATTTGAAAGTAATCTTTAACCGGTAAGCAAACCACGCCAAGGGTCTTAGTTACGTCTGAGTCTGCCATAAGTGGCATACAGCGCGATCAGATGCGGATAACTCTGGGCAGTTTAAAAAACCACTTGCCAATTCAAAGCCTGCATCTTGCAAGACCTCAACGCATCCGGCGCCAGTCATCAAATCGTCAACATAAAAATCATTCTGAATAACCTTTGCGGCTTTTGGGTGAGTTGATTGCGCCATCTCTCCTAGCCGCATTAAACACCGAATCGCCAAAAAGGGTGCTGGCGAAGTTCCATTTGTAACGGTGTTTAACTTAAAGATTTTTAGGGACTCAGAAGGATCTCGTCTCACCATCACACCATCACTTGGCGATACATCTTTTTGTCGTCAGCCGCATGGGCAAACTTATGCAAACTAAACCGAAGCAGAGTCGAGTACGGCTCCTCTTGGATTGTTGGGCCTACCATCAAGATGTGATACAACGCTACCTGCGTGGAAGTACGGCTCGATGCATCGAAAACTACACTCAACTCAGTTGAAGTACTTTGTGGCCGTAGAACGCTTTGGTGCGGAATGAAATAGTGCAGAGTATTCGGAATTTTGTCATTGGTGGAGGACAAGCCCATTGAAACATATTCCTCTATGAATTCAAGATACATTTTACATTGACTCCAACGCTTCCTCCTGGCAGCTGAGATGTAACATTTTTTCAGCCTTTACATTATTTTCAGAGGCACATCTCCCTGACACTATCCAGCCGAGAACTGTCTTTTGTAGGATGGGGAATTCAGGCCCCTGCTTTATCTGGCCAATAGATAAAAGTTCAAAGAATGTTTCAGCGCCGATAAGCATATCTATTTTTTGGGGCTTGAAGAAGAATGGATCTGCCAACTGAATATTTTCAGGCACCCTCCACCCGCTGGTGTTCACCGCTTGATCCGGATGATAACCAGAAATATTTTTCATAATCCAAAAGTCGGACGACAATTGGCTGTTCCCTACTCGCGACTTCACAATCGTGTGTATTTTTTTTGTGGCTTGGGCATTAGTTCCACCATGCCTCGCAGCTCATGACCACGTCCTCTCTTGTAAGTTTGAGCCTCTTTGCGAGCTCATCGATCACAAAGTTTATTTGTGAGCCAGAGTCGAGCAACGCTCGAGCTAATACAAACTCGCAACTTTTGGTTGGACGCTCACAACCGCAGTTGCAAGAATGACTCGATCCGATGCATTTGCATGCAAAACATGCGTCGTGGATGGAGACTCCTGCGTGAGCGTGGGCTGAGAAGGGGCTGGCAACGCGAGATTTGTGTTTGGGGAACGCTTCCTCCTGGCAGCTGAGATGTGCTCTTTTGGCGAAATCGAATGTTTGCTGAACTGTTAGGCCTGCTGTAGCAAAGTGTGATGTGAGGAATTGCACACTTTACATCTGTTCGATTTGCATTTTTTGACCGTGTCACCCGTTCTTAAGCAGTTAATGCATAAGGGTGCTCTTTTAGCGAAATCGAATCTTTGCTGAACTGTTAGGACTGCCAAGGAAACGCAGTTTCCAATCTGATGTTCAGCTGAGTTGCAATACACGCATTGAACAGGGTCGTTCCTGGCAGCGACAAACGAAAAACTCCTATTTCCATTCTTCTTAGGGTTAGATTGGGTCTGCTGAACAGTTTTGGGCTTGGAAGCCTCTTCTGCTACCATGTGTTGGTATCGCCTGTTGAGGGCCGCCTCACATTCGTTCCAAAGTGGAAGCGAAGTATAATCTAACTGTTCTTCCCATTTTCTTTTAGTTCCTGCAACGACCTTGCTCATTACCAGATGTATTAAAATAGCATTAGTATTGCGTCTATCATCCCCAATAGACAGCAAGGAGTCATACAAGGCTGCGACCGTGTCGATGAGGGTTCTCACGGCTGTAGCTGAAGGCTGCCAAATTTTTTGCAAATTAAAAAGTGTCGATATGTTGTCAAAAAAAAATAAGACAATCATTATAGTACACCCGCTTCAGGCTAGCAAGGGTTTTGGGATAATTTTCCGCAGTGAATTGAAAGGACCTAACTGTTCCTAAAGCGTCTCCAGCTAAACACGAAATTAAATGATTGAATTTTTCAATATCGTGTAAAGTGTCATCTTTGTCAACGAAAGTTTCGAAAAGGCTTATAAAATTGTTAAATTCGGAGTGTTTTCCTTTAAAAGCTGGGAGAGCAACGCTCGGTAGGCGATATTATTTTGTTTGCACTTATATAAAATCGAAATCAGCAATGACTTTGTTATTACGGCCCTCTCTTCTAACTCTTCGCGGTATACATCTTTTGTATCTTTCAGTTATATTTGGTTTTGCAGAAGTAAAGCATTTTCAATGTGCGTATTTAGAATCTCTAATCGACACCCAAGCTCAACCGGATTTACAGATAATTTAGCTTCTTTTAAATGGCGATAAGTTGGGTTAATACTTTTCATGCGGACATGCGTAAATGTGATTTTTATTTCATATAACTTATTTCACTTAACTTGCACAACTTCACTTTGTGGCTTCGAAATTAGAACTCTTTAACTCTACTTAAATCTAATGCTAGGAGAGCGGGGGTGGAGACTGTTAACAGACCGAGAGCGAGATGAGAGTTCATCTGGACATAACTGCTCTCGACTGTTAACGAATAATATTGACAGTGGCCCATCCTTGGCGCGGACATTCTCCCCCCCTTGCGACGACAAACGTAGCAACCAGGTTTTCCACACGTCTGGCGCCTTAAGATTGTCTACATGATCCCGAGACAATCCAGCCGAACACAGTGCTTTGTGCGACAGGCTGTCCCTCATCCAGATTTGGGAACCCGGGTTGGATGACATCACGATAGACGTCAGAGCCCAACACCAGGGATATCGTCGCCGGGCGATGAAACTGTTCATCAGCAAGACGGATATCATTAAACCTAGCGCGAACATCGTCGGTTAGTGCACGGATTGGAGTGCGAATGGAGAAGTTGGGGCTGACCTTGAGCACCACGTCGATTTTGAAGGTGCCTGTTCGTGACCTTATCGTCGCCGAACAGACCGTCTCGTCTCCGACGCTTGTCGTGGGGAGCCGGAACGCCGCAGCGAGCGATCTATCAATGGTGCTCACCGGGGAGCGCGGGTCGATCAGGGCACCCGTCTCGTATTTATTGGTTCCTGTGTCGAGAACCACGATGGCCGTCGGGATGATTTGCACACTCCGATGCTGCAACAGAGACGCCACAGATGGAGCTGCAGTTGGCGCTTCGGCCTGGTCGGAATGCCGGGAACGATTCCGCGAGCTGGGTGTTGGACCCCGAGAGCGTGAGCCGGAAGCTGATGGTCGTGATGCAGTTACCGAAGGTCGCACTGGAGAAATTGACTGGCGTCGCGAAGTGGAAGACTCGCGCATATGGAGCAACGTGTGGTGGTCCTGCCCACATTTTTTGCACCTGTCTCCGCTGCGACATACTTCTTCGGAGTGCTGATGTGCCAGACAATTAGCGCAGTATTTGTTAATGATAACGGCGCGTAGCCGCTTCTCAGTACTGAGCCTCAGAAACCTGTTGCATTTCCGTAGCGGATGGATTCCCCGACAGACTCGGCAGCGGTAGGATCGAGTACCTCGGGAACGTCTGTCGTCCAGAGTTTGGGCGCTGCGAGGTCGTGGAGCCATGGTTTTAATGCTTTAATATAAAAAAAAATAAATGATAGGTACATTTAGTGTCAATCGTGAACGAATTTTGGAGCATGAGGACAGAAGGCACTATTTCGGAAGTACTGAGGCTGCCTTGGCCTCCATAGGAAGAAGTACTAGCTTATGGACGTTTAATAATTCCTCGAGCGGTACGGATTTCTACTACGCGAACTCTACTATCGGCCCCTGGAAAGACAGATACAACTCTGCCGAGCCGCCAGTCGTTTGATGGCATATTGTCTTCTTTGACGACCACCATATCATCGACTTGTATATCTTTGGACGGATTCTGCCACTTATTGCGCTTGTGCAGTTCCTTTAAATATTCCTCTTTCCATCGCGCACTGAACTGCTGATGCAGGGCCTTTAAATGTTGCCAGCGATTTATAATCGCCTTAGCATCGCCCTTAATTTCGGGTTCAGCTGTGGAAAGCAACGGACCCCCAATCAGAAAGTGGCCTGGCGTTAACGCCAACAAATCAGAAGGATTTTCGGACATGGGAGACAGTGGCCTGGAATTAAGGCACGCTTCAACTTTGGCAAGAAGGGTAGAGAGCTCTTCAAACGTATACTTCCGACTTGACGTCGACTTGTAGAAAAGTGTTTTAAAGCTTTTCACTCCAGCCTCCCATAGTCCTCCCATATGTGGAGCTCCTGGTGGAATGAAACGCCACAAAAGTCCCTGATGGCTATAGGCATCAGTCACAGACTCCTTGATCGCTTGCATAAAATCACGCAAAAGTAGAGTCGCTGCCCCCACAAAGGTTTTGCCATTATCCGAATGAACCCGCTGAGGACAACCCCTCCTCGCTACAAATCGGGCAAAGGCTGCGAGGAACTTCTCGGTTGTGAGGTCGGAAGTAGGCTCTAAATGGATCGCCTTTGAGGAGAAGCATACAAACACGCAAACATATCCCTTGGTAATGAGGCATGCTCTGCCTGTATAGTTTTTTATTTCAATGCCAGTATATGTAAAAGGCCTGGAAAAGGAAACTCGATCGGTCGGAAGATCGCCCATTAATTGCGTCTGTAATCTCTTCTTGTAAATAGTACACACCTTACAGGAGTTTAGCACAGCTTTTACCAGATTCTTGAGTTTAGGAATCCAATACTTCGATCGAATGAGGCGTACCACTAGTTGGTTGCCGCCATGCAGGGAAATCTGGTGTGAAAAAAGGACGAGCAGACGAGAAAGCCTACAGTTATATTGCAGTATAATAGGATGGCGCTCGTCACACTGAAGTGCTGTTGAGGCAGTATTGCGACCACATGCTCTTAACAGGCCGTGCTGGTCTAGGAATGGAAACAGGTTGGCTATCGGGCTGGACACTTATCGTTTAGGAATTTAAGCTCTTTGGTATATTCCTCACGTTGAGCATATAGAATAAGGACTCTTTCAGCTTCTCGGACCTCCGCCTTTGTAGGCCGGTCAGCTGGGCCCCTCGGCATCTTGCGGCAGCGTTGAGTGAACCGTAACACGTACGCAAGGACCCGCAGAGCCTTGTCCAACTTGGAGAATCGTTCCAGAAAATCGTCGGATAGGGCCTTTGCGAAGTTGACCTTCACAGCACGCAGCTCTAAGTCTGTAACTGGAGTCGCAAGCCCCTGTGTTGGCCACTGGCCTTTTGGCTTTTGTTACCAGTCCGGTCCTTTCCACCAAAGTTGGCTATGAACCAGATCCCGCAGCGAAACTCCTCGGCTGGCTAGGTCCGCGGAATTGTGCTCAGATCGCACATGCGCCCAATGCTCAGCGCTCGTCACCTGAGTAATCTTGGTCACTCGGTTGGCTACAAACGTGGCCCATTGGCATGCCGGTTTGTTCAACCATGCGAGGACGATGGTGGAATCAGTCCAGCAGAAAGTGTCGGAATTGGAAATTGGCATATTCGGAAGGATAGCTGCGATCATTATTGACAACAACAAGGCCCCACAAAGCTCGAGCCGTGGAAGGGAATCCGTTTTAACAGGTGCGACTCGGGTCTTGGCGGTAAGCAGATGTGTCATAATATTATGTCCTACTTCAACCCGCAAGTATATTGCGGCCCCATAGGCCTTCTGCGACGCATCACAAAACCCATGATGCTCGACCTTCACCTCTGGCTGGAACCCAACCCACCTAGGAATACGGATTTGCTTGAGCTCGGAATAGCTGCGCAAAAACTCTTGCCATCTTTGATTAATTTCTGTGGGGATATTTTCATCCCAGCCCAACTGTTGCAACCAAATTTCTTGCATAAAGATTTTTGAGCGGACAATAAACGGGGACAGCCATCCCGCGGGGTCAAAAAGTTTCGCGATCTGGGAAAGAACCTCTCTCTTCGTATACGTACATTCAATCGAAACTAGCGGTGGAACAAAATAGAACTCGTCCGAGGTCGCATTCCACCGAACCCCAAGTGTTTTGGTAGTGCTTTCGAAATTGAGATCGCGAAAGTCATCGTGGAGTAGGTGCTCATTAGGGATATCTTCGAGTATGGTATTCTGATTCGCTGTCCACTTTCTCAACGGGAAGGTTAAAAGCGTGGCAAAGCTCGCTGATAGCAAGTCGAGCCTCTTGTATGCAATTGGCCCCTGCCAGAACATCGTCTACGTACATAAAATGCCGAATAAAATTGGTTGCTTAAGGAAACTCCGTTTCTACGTCGTCTGCCAATTGTTGGAGTACGCGAAGTGCCAGAAACGGTGCACAGTTGACACCAAAGGTGACGGTTTTTAGTTCGAAATCGCTTACTTCTCCTTCTTTGTTTCGGGATAAAATTCTTTGGAACGGCGTGTGCTTGGGATCGACCCAGATTTGACGGTACATTTTTGTAATGTCTGCAATAAACACATACTGGAAATAACGCCACTTCAAGATCTGAATGGTTAAATCAGATAATAGTTTGGAGTATCGTAAGACGGGGGAACTTCTCTCATGTGACCCAGATCCAAATACTCTTGAATGACTGAGTCATATTGCTCTTTTAGTGGAAAGTCTCTTTTTAAACGGTTTTCGTTCCTAAGACGCTGAGCTAGGGCAATGGATCGCGAGTGCCCCAATTTGGATCCGAAATTTTCGGGTTCGCGAAACGGTAACGTTACCACGTATTTCCCGCTTGCGTCTCTAGTGGTGGTTTGGAGAAAATTGCTCTCGCAATAGGAATCGGATTCCTTTACCCTCTTTGTTGGTATATTCTCCACCTCCCAAAACTTAGTGAGAAGTTTTTCTAAGACCCTGTCACTTGTTTCGGTTATCTGGGTCGTGAAAGCTGCTACCCGCTTTTGGACTGATGTATTGGACACTGGGCCGGTAAACACCCAGTCTCCTGTCCTAGCAGAGAGCCGCAAATGTTGGTGCGCGTGCCGCTCAGCAACACGGACGGTAAAATGTCGGCTCCGATCAGAACATCTATCTGGGAACTCTCTTAAAATGTTGGATCTGCCAGGGGGATGGCCGGTAAATCAACCAGCGCATCTCGTGCATCTCGAAGTGCTTCCCAAGCTGAATCGAAACCCTCATTTGTAAGAGGGGATTTGGATACGATTGCCTTAGCCTCGCCGCTAGTTTTAGCGTTGAGATGGAAAAGTTTTTCGACCGCTGTCAACCTAGGATTGTTAACATAAACTGCGGTAAAAAGATCCCTAAGTGTTGGCCATTTCAAATAGTCTCCTTCGAAAACCTCAGTGTCGCATGGCGGTAGTCGGCAACCGGACGAAAACGGAATGGGCAGGGTGTTGGAATTGGCGTTGGCCGTTTGAGTTTTCACTCGCTCAATTTGTTCACTGAGTTTCGCGGTACAGGATTCGTAAACTTCATAGCAATGCTCATATTTGGCTTGCAGAAGTTCTAACATTGCATGCGCCTCCCCGCCCCCCGCAAGAATTGCGTCTGAACATACTTCGTACTCGTTCTCTACCCTGTCCCATAATCCCTTGATTTGATCACGTCGAACTTGTCACGTGTGGACCGAAGGATCTGAAACCCCTGAAACGTTTATTCTGGCTTCAAATGTGCTCAGACGGTCGGAGATCGAAATAAATTTGTCTAAAACTGCGTCGCGTTGGGCCATCTTTACGCTGGATCGCATGACTTTTATTTGTGGAACTACAGGAGCGTTTAAGGAGCTGTCGCTTATTGCGTTGGAAATCAACGCTTTGGGTTCTTGTTTACCCTGAGACACACGAGGGGACGCTGATCGTGGTCGCTCTAAGCTTACCCGCGGGGTTGTCTTCAAATTTTTCTTATCCCCTATGGGCATGCTAGAATAAGGATCAGGAAATTGCCCCTATTCGCAGTAAAAAAGAATCATTTTATATTAAAATCAATGGACTCGTATTGATCTTGATGCCAAAATTATTTTAATATGAATTGGTTTAATAAGCAGTAAATAAAAACCTGGTATTTATGGAATGGAATGAATGGCAATTTTTTGGAACAAAGCATATGGGAAATATATCAAAAATATAAATTGTATATATCCAGAATAGTCACGCTGCTATGGGATTTGCCAATGACTACTTGGTAACTCGATAGGGAAAAATTAATAAACAATGTTAGTTGGAACACAACAAAACTATTTTTAAGGTGTATTATTTATATATGTATAATATCGTATTTATTGTTTAATTATGCTTTGTTTGCCCTCAGGTTACTTGAGTTGTTTATTATTGCTTGAGTTATTTATTATTATTTTTTTGTATGGAATGGCGCACTGATGTTTATAAATAATAATCAATAATATTAATATATGCCAATATATGGCGTTTTATATGTGACGGAATGAATGGAATGGACAATAAACTTGTTGAATATGTCCACTGTCCCTAGTGGAATTGGTTGATCAAGCTTTGACGGAATGAATGGAATGTAACAATAAACCTTTTGAATATTTCCACTGTCCCAAGTGGATTTGGTCGCTCAGTCTTTGGATATATATGTATAAATGTATAAGGAAATAGCTTTACAAAAAAACGCAGCTGGAGCTGGAGAATTTCGTTATTAAATTTATTTGCTGCTCCGTCGTGTCGTGCGTAGCCCTCTTGATATGTCTGGTTATTTCTCACATACACTTGTTTAATGTTGTTTATGTAAACAAATACTTGACAAAGATAAAAATTAATTTAGAAATATGTGTGATCACTTTGCGTTTATTTGTTAACACACATAAACTGGGATGGCTGGGATGTTTGCTGGAAATGTTTGTTGGAAATGTTTGTTGGTTGTGGACTGTATTGTATTTTATTTTCGTATATGTATATGTTTCACGAATATGCAAATGTGGATATGTATAATTATTATTTTAAATTATGTACGTATGTGAATAATTTTCTGGAATTTACGTAGCAAATATGTTTCTGGAATGTACGTATGTGAATATATTTTGGAATGTACGTATGTGAATATGTACATAAAAAATGGAAATGGAAGAAAAAAAGAAGCCGTGGAGTCGCAAAATGGCGATCGGTTGGAAATAGTAAAAATCGTACTTATCTTTTTATTCTTGAAATTGAAGAAAATCAACCGGTGCCGCTGGAAATCGCAGATCGATCCGGCTCGAAGGACCAAAAAATGAAAAGCTGGGGGGGTTGGCGGATTTCTGCCCTTGGAGGATGCTGGTGGAAATGGCGACTCGCTGGGTTCTTTTTTCGTAAATGTGATTTTTATTTCATATAACTTATTTCACTTAACTTGCATAACTTCACTTTGTGGCTTCGAAATTAGAACTCTTTAACTCTACTTAAATCTAATGCTAGGAGAGCGGGGGTGGAGACTGTTAACAGACCGAGAGCGAGATGAGAGTTCATCTGGACATAACTGCTCTCGACTGTTAACGAATAATATTGACAGTGGCCCCTCCTTGGCGCGGACAATTTGTATTTATTTTGTTGGTTCGAAGAGATGTTAAATATTTATTTCTATTAAATTATTTATTTGTTAAATAATCTAATACAAAAACAACGAGTGATATACCGTTCGCACACAGTATAGGGGATCTAAGTGCCGAGAGAAGTAAAGCGAAAAATATCTAAATAGGGTTTTTATATTTTTTTTATATAAACCCTGCTATCGCTCAAGTTCAAGCGTACCAAAAAAAACGAAAAAACGTTTAAGCAGACCGAAAATTGCACTGCTGCAGCGATCGTGAACGAAAACGACCAAAGATAACTCGAAATAGCGACAGCGGTGTCGGTGTGCGTGTGTATGTGTACGCGGCTAGCGACTCTAGGCAAATGCTAACGGATAATGATACACTGACCGATAACCAAGGGCAGCGAAAATATAAGCCTGATGCCGAAAGGCGCGGAAAAATTATGAAAAGCCCGGGAAAATTGGAAACGCGCAGGAAAATGTTTATACAAACTGCGGCGAATGTTTTTGCCGCTAATTTGGAGATTTAGTTCGCTCTAATTGGGTCGACGACGAGTAGTTTATTTGCTTGTTTATGGGCCAAAGCGATTCAGAATTTTGGTTGTTAGTACATGCAAATTTTTATTTCTTGGTTAGAATGCTCACTCACTCACCGATTTTTACACGAATGATAAAACGCCACAGATTAACTTTCAACTTTTAGCACTCTATACCTGGTTGGCCGACTCGGTAATTGCAACTTCCTTTTTTACATTCGTTCACAAATTAAGTTGCAGCGGCGGAAGAAACGTCTTGGGCAACAACCAAGGAACGACCCAAAATTTCCAGCGACTAAATTTATTTCTGAATTTAATTTTTTGGCCGAACCGACACGAATAAATTGGTTTTGTGTGTTTGTAATTGTTATAGTTTTTCACCGAAAACAAATTAAAACAACTCGCGAACTCTACTGCGTTCACTTCGGGGTCACCATGAAAAATTTAATACTATTTTGTATTAAGAAACGCGAAACTTGTGACTGCAGTAGGTTCGAGATAATTTAATTTGCGATAATTTGTGTTCGATTGATCACTAAATTTAATATTTCAATAATTTCTCTTAGAACCTAACTTATGCTAAGGTGGCGAGAGACGGGGCGAATTCGCAGGAGCGAACGGACGAAAGCTTTATTGGCTCCCGCTCTCGCCCTACAACAAGTGACTTCAAGTACAAGCGCCAAGTGCGTAAGCAAGAAGGTGAAAAGCTTGTGGAGGAACAGATATTTTAAAGGAGGATATCTTGCGAGCGTATATAAATTTAAATTGTTCAACTATAATGTTTGGAGATGGGTATTTTTTTGAATAAACTCCATAACATCATCAAATGTGGTTTCGGGGATAAATCGAGAAACAATTAATTGTTTCATATAGGGAACAACAGAAAGTTTCTTTTTACCACCACCAACACTTTGAACATTTTTACTCCGACTTTGTGATGCAGGGAGTACTTCAGAGCACGCAGTACCATTACGAACAGCTGGCTGTAAAGCTTTTGATCCACCGGGCTGCTCTACAACTTTTCCAGTGCTCTAGAAGTTGATGAACTAAGTGCCGGTAAAGACTCATCACAGGTATATAAAATAGGAATTGGGGTATATTCCTTTTGTGAAACTGAATTTAAGGAAGCACCCGTTTCCATTGTCTCAGTTTTTTACGCTTAGGACTCACTTAGCTGTTTTTTACTACTAAATTGTTCACTTACCGCGTCGACGGTTTCAGTGAGTTGTTTTAATACTCCAAAAAGATTCTTAAAACCGTCACAAGTCTGCCTCATAAAGCCACACATCTCAAGTTCCAGTTCGCTGCAGGGTTCAATGTAATTTCTAATTCTGCAAACACATCCTGCACATTTTGCTTGCATGATTGTATCGCAGAGCCAGCAGAAAATAAAGATGACATTGGGATCAAATGCAAACACAAAAACACAAAAATAAAAGTAACGCGTGTAAAAACCAAAGCGGGAAAAGTGAAAGAAAAATATTCTATCGCCTGGGCGTGGCTTGTGAAACACTAACAACTTTGTACGTACACAGTTAGATAGGACGCAAGAAGTAGAGCGGGAGGTAGAGAATAAAATGTTACAGGGAGTTACTCATGCAATGTTACAAAAACAAACACTAAGAACATTGACAAAGCATCCACAAGAGAATGAGTTACAATAACAATGCACAGGGATTAGACAATTTAAAATTACATAAAATAGTGAGTAAAGATTTATAAGAAAAGCCTAGTTCCAAACACACACAATGCAGTTAAGCTTAACTTGCTAAACAGAAAAACACCAGTACTTTCAGAAATTAATCAAAACTTGACAAAACCACAGAGCACAAAATAACACAACCGATCACAAGCGATGTGAAATCGAATGTTTATTAAGTATAATTAAATTCTTATTACTTAGAAGTCATTTTAGCACTGATTACGCCAATCTGCCCAATTCCGAAGCCAGCATGCCTCAGCAGTTCCGTCGTATGGAATTTAACTTTTTTGGCAGTTCGCGATATTATTTATTACGTAATGCTGCAGATCGGTGTCCTGTGTTCCTTTTTGCTCTTGTTGCAGTCCCTGGCGCAAATGGGCAAGCGGAGTCCTAGGCAACCCTTCCGATATGCGCGGCAAGCCAGCCTCGGTAGCGCCCTCCACATCCGTGGACCACATCTTTTCGTCGTCCTCGCCTGGAAAACCCTTCGACCGAAGCTGGTGATCATGCTTGCTGCCTTGTCGCTTTGACATCCTGAATTTTGGTTATCCCTAACACAACTTCTGAAACCCCGAATTCAATGTGCCAACCAAAAAACCAAATTATGTATAAATAAATAAATTATGCTGAATGCTAGTAAATAATAATAAATAATAAATAAATACCACTAAATGATATGCACCTAAATAATACGAATACTTATATTACCAGGCCAATAAATAATAATAATAAATAAATAGAAACAATAAACAATGAATAAATAAAAAAAAATATATTAACGACCAAGAAATACCTAAGGCTAAGCAAATTCACACCACTAATTAGCTCCTATCAAAAACAAATCCCTCAAGACTACATTTCTATCTCTATTTTTTTTTTCAGCCTCAATAAGAGGAGATGGAGCCGATCACCAGCCGGTAGACTCCGCGCCAGTCGTCTTGCGTCTACAATTTCGTCCGAATTCTCACTAAACAAGCCGCTCGTCAACTGGACTAACTTTCAGCTGTACTGAAAGTCGCCAGTTAAGGACTTCGGCTGTTTGCAGGATCGCATAGGATTTCCTTTTGGACTTTGCATTTTCCATTCAAGTCGCGGTGGCCGAGCAGCGCGTAACGACGTCACGGGTCACGATCACACATTTAAGTTTTAAGCCGATATGATATGAAAACGCAAATTCCAAGAAAACCCAAGGATCTGCACAAAACAAACAACTACACTGTAACCCCAAAACAAGTCATTCATTAAAATTACGTTAACAAAAAAAATATGTCCCTAATACCTATATCACAGTTTTATCACAGTTTTTGGTTTAACCTTTCGTGCTTATTGCACGGACGACCTGGGATGCGAATCCTTCGATTTCTTTCGAAGAGGATGTCACCGCCAAATCACAGCTAAACCCTGTGAACTGTGCCTCGGGAGCAATTATCCTACTTCTAGTGGACACGCCTCCCTTTCTCCCTCCAAAATTTAAATCTTCTCCACCAGTCCGCATCCACGGTGCAATTGCATGTGGGTCATGCAAGCCACCGTTCGTGGGCTGGCTGGAGATATGAATATGCGAGACGCCGTCGTCTCGGCTATCACATATTTTACACAGGGCGGAGTACCCCCTATGCCCTGCAGTCCGAACAATCGATTCCGACTCATCGGACGTCTCACGTCACTAACCGACGATTTACCATCTCTACCACAAATCAAAACAAACAAAGTTATATTTACATCAAAAAACTAAGACAATTGGAAGAAATTGGTGGCTTCGATGTCCTTGCCACTACGCACCCACCCAACCTTGGGTGCCCCAAAAAGGATGTAGGAGGCACGCCCCATCTCCGTATGACCGGAGTATATTCCTGGCGGATTAGGATCGGCTCATCTCCCCGGCCAAGGTAACTTACACAAACATCTCAGCAGCTTGTTCACATTTAATTTTGGGAAAGACTAACAATAAAATACATTCATTATTGATTCCTACTAATAATCTACTCTTTTCGTTAGAAACACTTAAGGCCGATCTCAGACCGTCGCCCAGATGAGAAGCGGTCAAAGCGGCAACAACCGAAGGGAAATTTTTAGACGCTTAATGTTACAAGTGTCAGGCAAAATCGCCGCACGGCACTAAATTGGAGGCGTTTGCCAACCGGGTCGCCTAATCCTGAGGAGCTCCAAAGGAAAAGAAGGGACGTGCTGAGAAGGTAAGTACGCTAAATAAATCCCACAAGTCATTAAATTTCGCGACCCAATTTAGACGTAGTTGGACGCGCGGCTAGGGTTCGGAATTAAGCCTCTAATTTCAGATTAGATTTCACAGTGAGTACTTGACAATCTTGACTGTATGATATCACAAAATAATAACTAAAACTTATTTATTGCAGAGTTCAACTTCGGATGTGGTTGAAACTGCAGCCAGAATAGAAAAATCGCTAGCGGCGAAAACCAGCGCGGGCCCGCACGGAGCCTATTGGTCCGGAATATAGCGCAGCGTCTGCGTAAGAGGGGCCGGAGGCAGTACGTCGGTGGACTGGGAGATGACCACGTGGTCAGCGCGGGCATTCGTTCCCGGAACGGACTCACCGAGGGAATCTCCGTATGTGGCCGTCTCGGAAGCAGTTGCTGGAGCTGCTGACGCTGGAGGCTGCTGCTGCTGATGCTGCTGCGGCTGATGCTGCTGCGGCTGCTGCGGCTGAAGCTGCTGATCGCTGCTGCTGCCGTGGCTAATGCTGCTGCGGAAGCTGATCGCTGTTGCTGCTGCCACCAATGCTGCTGCTGCGGTTAATGCTGCTGCGGTGATGCTGCGGTGATGCTGCTGCGGCTAATGCTGCTGCGGCTGATGCCACTAATCGCTGCCGCTGTTGGAGCCGATCGCTGCTGCTGGTGGACGACGACCAGGTTAGGTTCGCCTGGTGAGTGTTCACCTTTTCCAAATCTTTTAAATTTCCGGGGCCCTTTAGATAGGGTCCCCGGCGGCTTCAATATTAAATAAAAAAACACTGTAATTTACAAGTTCCGGAGTAATAAATAACCACTCACTTTGAGTTATCCAAACAGTAATTACGAATTTAAAATCTCAGGCTTTTTCCCGACCGTTCTCTTACTACTTCTTGCAGCAACTAAAGCAAAACCCTGACCTACACCAAAGTCGCTCGCCATTTTCCCTCCCGCTCTCTCAAGACGGGTTAGCGAACGTATTCAAGGCTATTGAACTGGCTATTGAAACTGGGTTATTACGAGCGAACCGGACTAAATTTAAATAGCTAGATACTCTCCCGCTATCAATAGTCGGTGGCACCACCGAATCTTATCGATAGCGGGACCTGCTGACATATCGGTTCGTTTTAGTATTTTCCAGACGGCTTCAACTGAAAATGCAACAAGTTTCGGGTCGGAAACGTGACTTCTGAGAGGAACTCACTGAGATGGGCTGGAATTACGCAAACCGCGCCGGGCTCAGTGATAACGACCAGTTCTGGGTGCTTATTTCGTAAACCACACCGGGCGCCGGTGATCCTCACCAGGTCGTACAGCCGACATAAAATCGTACTCTTACGGATCCATCACCACTACCAAGACTATCTACCAGAACACTTACCCGGATATTCCTCCTTGGTGATGTTTTCTCGAAGCTCGTCGGAAGGCAAGTGACGGTCTGGGGCTGTGTCTCCGGTTATATAGGCGCCGGTAAGTGTGACCAGATCGGGCAATGACGATAATCCCGCTTTGGGTAATTGGGTTATTGGGCGATGAATAGCGGCGATCGATAACTCCGTCGAATAAGTGCGACCGGGTGTTTTTGGCTTTAAGCGCGCGTTTTTAATAATTATTCAAAATAAAAGACCAGTATTTGGAACTTTCTTATGTTTAATTTTAATGAAAATCTTTGGGTGGCTTTGTTTCCCGTTCCTCATCCCAATTCTCCTCGGAGTCCTCTGAGAGGTCTTCTGAGCCAACTCCCAGGTCTCTGTAGAGGTCCAAAAAGCACCTCGGTTTCACCCATGCCGTTTGCGGCCGCTGGTTGTCTACCAGTTGGTGACGTTTAGTTCCGATTGTTGTTCTTTGTCGGGGGATCTTGATCGGTAGTAGTCAGTAAAAGCCTTAATTCATGCTAATGGGCACTTGGAGAGGACCAAGATATACCTATAACAATCAAATTATCACTGTCAGAAAGTAGAGATTCAACAGATTTAACAGTCAAATGATGTCAGATCTAGGGAGGGATATAAGAACAGGTTACAAAAATAAATAAGTCATGTAAAGAAAATTTAACACTAACAAGTGCTATTTTATTGGGGTAAACAGGCTAAATTGTCTACGATGTTAGACTGGACTTAATAGCAATAAGCACACCACTTCCTCAAGAGAAGCGCGATCGGTTCTATAAGTGTTATAGTTGTTTGAAATCTCCGGTTTCAGACAAGTTTCTGTTCATTAAAGGCAGAGGAGTCAGCGTACATTCTAGGTAACTTCATATTAAGTCCCTTTACATTTTGATATGATAGAAATACACAAGCGTTCAGTTCTTTGGAACAGACTCTTAAATCGGAGACTAATTATTATTTATTTATCTGTAAGGAACAAATTCTTTTATTAATAGTTCATCATCAAGCCATAAACTTGTATTATTTACAACTTTAAAAGATAAAATATAAAAGAGGATATCTTGCGAGCGTATAAAAATTTGAATTTTTCAACTGTAATGTTTGGAGATGGGTACTTTCATATCATCATCAGATGTGGTTTCTAGGGTAAACCGAGAAACAAATAACTGTTTCCTATGGGTAACAACGGAAATTTTTTTTCTCACCACCAACACCTTGAACACTTTGAACATTTTTCCTCCGACTTTCTGATGAAGGGAGTACTCCAGAGCACTCAGTACCATTGAGAACAGTTGACTGTAACACTTTTGATCCACCGGGCTGCTCCACAACTTCTCCAGTGACAGGGGCTGATAAGCAAGATTCCGCTAAAGACCTATGTATTATAAATATTTCAAATTGCAATTGAGGCAGTTTCCTTTTCTGAAATTGAATTTAAAGCAGCACCCGATTCTATTGTCTCAGTTGTTTACGCTTAGGACTCAGTTAGCTGTTTTTTATTACTAAATTGTTCACTTACCGCGTCGAAGCCTTCAGTGAGTTGTTTTAATACTCCAAAAAGATTCTTAAAACCGTCAAAAGTCTGCCTCACAAAGCCATCTCAATTTCTAATTCTGCAAACGAATCCTGCACATTTTGCTTACATGATTGTATCGCAGAGCCCGCAGAAAATAAATATGACACTAGGATCAAATGAAAAAACAAACTGATTAACACAAAAATATAAGAAACGCGTGTAAATGTAAAAGCGGGAGAACGCGAGAGAAAAAATTTGCATAGAATGAGCTTGGCTTGTGAAACACTAATTACTACATATGTATGTACGAACACAGTTAGACAAGGCGCAAAAGTAGAGCGGGAGGAAGAGGGATTAAAATGTTACAGAAATTTAATCGTGCAATGTTACAAAAACAAAACAGACAATGTACAATAAATTTATTAAAACTCTAATAGTGAGCACAGATTCAAAAGAAAAGCCTAGTTAAGCTCAGCTATGTAAAAAGTAATACACCAATACTTTCAGAAGTTATCAAAAATTTGACATAATCACAGAGCACAAGAAAAGCACAACCGATCATAAGCGACGCTAAATTAATAAGAATAATTAAGTTGTTGGTAATTATAACTCGCCATCATTCAACTCCGCTGAATAAAACCGCAGAATTCTCTTCCTTTTTTATGTGCCATAGCCGTTCAGATCAGCTGTAATTGAATAGTGGATGTGCTCTGTGGGAATCGGAGTTTTACATGGACAAAAATGTTTGTTTCCCACGGATGGGCTGTGTGGGAAGAGAGTATACGAATCGATTTTGTTTCCAGCTCCAGTTGTGCCCTTCTGTGTGGGAATGTGGTATTATTTCTATGTGTGTATATCGCGTTTCATTCCACAAGTTCCAATCATTCATTAACCATTTTAATTACGATCGCTTCCTAACAAAAGAACGAGAAAATGTGAAAAATTTTATTCGTTTGTAATTAAAAAGAAGAGTTTGATGTCCATGCACATACTCTCTGCCAAATAGCCAAGTATCATTTAATAGACCGGGCCCCGTTAAATAAATTGTTTATCAAAAGCCCTTATAAAAGGAGTACATTGTGTTCGCATTCACACAAGCATACACGCCTCTGGTTATTTGTTTGATAGCAACACAAAAAAAGTTTCTAGAAAAAGTTTGAAATCCAAACAGCTTTTATTAAAGTTTGTGGAAAATAAACAAAATCTTGAAGAATATACAGTTTTAAAACCTTAAATCCATTAATTTTGTACATTCAATTAAAGAACATACAATATTTAATTGCAAACACTGGAACCATGCAGAGACTAGCTGAACCACATCAAATGTTTGCCTATATGATTGAATTGTACCTAATTAAAACAAGGACTATTAAAGTGTAACACTACTTAACAAGACATATTTAGTCACCTTAAAAATTAATTCGTTAAAAAAATTTAAAAATTGCTGCAACGCTGTCGTTGAAGCTGAGAACATACGTGTTAATAAAACTTATTTAACATATAATGAAGTTACTAGAGAGTTCACGTTTCGAGGCAATCAACAACGCACTTTCTATACAAACAAGTGGTATCACAATCTTCGGTCGTATAGAAAGTTACTCATGGTAAGTTCCTTAAAACACATAAAACATTTTTAAATTTGTATTTATTTCAGCAAAATGGTTGCAGCCGAGAAAGTGTTGTATAAACGATTTACAGTAGACACTCATGGGCATGACCTTCAGGCGCTATCACCCCCCCAAACTTTGACTGACTTTTCGCCCAACTTTCGCCGGCACAACAGTCAATCTGGAGATGAAGGAATAACTCTTTGCGACACTATCTCCAGAAAAACATTGTTTTACCTAATTGCTACTTTAAACGCGTCGTTTGAGCCTGACTACGATTTTTCCGACGCTAAGGTAATTATTGCTTTTTATACCCTTGCAGAGCGTATTTTAGTCAAAAATTTGCAACGCAGTGAAGTAGGCACTTTCGATCCTGTAAAGTATATATAATCTTGATCAGCATCACTAGGAAAGTCGATCGAGCCATGTCCGTCTGTCTGCCAATCTGTCAGTTTTTACGCAACCTAGTCTTTAAGTTTTAAAGCTATCTTCATAAAATTCACAAAAGTTGTCATTTTATTTAACGAGTCACAAGTCGGATCGCAGGACTCTATTTAAACTTCAAATCGGGAAAACAGTAGAAAACAATTATAACTTCGCTGTGCTATAATTTGTTTATATATTAAATATATTTAATTTCTATATATACTTCAAAATATAGTAACGGTTTATTAATTTACAATTATATTCAATTAAAATAGGACAACGATAGCGGCCAATGGAACAATCGAATTATGCAACGAAAAATTATAATAGCCTTACTGTATTTTAATCAAATCAAAGTCAAAATAGTAGTTATAAAAAACATTTATTTTTTTATAAAACTGCAAGGGTACATAAACTTCGGCTGGCCGTAGTTTGCTTTTTTTCTTCTTGCTGTTAATTCAATAATTTTTTAAAGTCCCATGAATTTAGCAAAGAGCCTTCATTACAATGGGTTATGAATTCAATCCATTCAAATCTCTCCGCATTAGCGGGAGATCAATACCAAGTTATACGTCAACCTTTATGGTCTGCCGTTGATGACGAAGTGAACTTATCAGAATGTGACATATACAGTTATAATCCAGATCTGAGTTGCGACCCTTTTGGAGAACCAGGTTGTTTGTGGTCGTTTAATTATTTCTTTTACAACAAAAAACTAAAACGAATTGTGTTCTTTACCAGTCGTGCAGTGAAGTATGTAACATTTCCTATCGGTTTTATAAACTGTTATGAATTACTATTATGTTTCAGTTCTCTTTATGCTGGTGAAACCTCAGACTTTTCGATGGAAGAGGATGTGTATTGACGTTGGCTACATACAATCTGTATTTTTTTCCTGCAAATCCGGATGCAAAACTGGTTAGAGATTCCAGTATGTGGTTCAACTGTAGCCGACTCTTACCGTATCTTTCTTATGTGTAGTTTCTTAACGCTTATCTGGCTAACGTTCATAAATATTATTTAAATTTGTTTAGCGAAGTCTACTTTATAAGATCAGTAAAATGTTTAAAATAAGAAAAATTTATATGAGAGCAATATTGTAGTATCTTGGGTACTCCCTGAATGACTGCATTGCTGAAATTCGGTCAGCTGGTCGTCAACTGTTTCATACGAATTCAACTGGCTAATATTTCAGCTGTTCAGCAACCCAGAAGTTGCTAAAATTTTTGTTAAATAGCTGAAAAGCCAAGGTAGTCCCCCTTTTCTACTGAAATTGAGAAGGTCCCAACATGAAAGTAACCACCCAATATAAGGAAAGAAGAAAGTTTATAGAGTCCATTGCTTTTTAAGGGGGTCTTCTACTTTCGAGGCAAGAATTTGAGTTGTTATTTAGGGAATTAATTTTGCTACTGCATAGAATCTTTCAGAACCTTGGAATCTATTTTTCATAATACATGTAAAAACTGCAGTGGTCCCGCTTAAGCGGAACGACAAGGCACAAGGCAAATTAAAAAAAAAAATTTTTTTTAGTAATAAGCTAAAGTTATGCAACAATAAGGAAAACAATTCAACTTAAAACGTAATTTTTTGACCTATTAGGCGCTATAAAAATGTAGCAAAAAAAAATTAAAAAATCGTACTCGGCAAAACATAGCGGACAAAATCCTTTTTGCAGCGTATTCCCAGAATCATACAGATTAGAACAAAGAAAAAAATAGATTTTTTGAAACCTCGAAAGTAGAAGACCCCCATAATGAATCCGAAAGATAGTCTCTTTGCTGTTCCTAGGCATTATCCTCCAATTGAAGCAAATGCTAAATAAAAGTAAATGTGAGGCAATTGACAAACCAATTGCTGACAATTTCCAGCAATTCAGAGATTCAGTCGTTTAAGGAATACCCAAATTGCATAAAACAATAAAATTATCATTAGGTTATTTACACGACTTATAAATTAATTCAGGATTTTGCAACGCAGTGAAGGGGATATTTCCGACCAACAATCAAAAAAATAAAAAAAAAATGAGAAAAAATTTTAAACTTCGATGTTTTTAAAATTTTTTAAGATTTCTTGAGATATAAGAATGGTTTAATATTTCAGAATTAGGGTTTTTAATTTATTTTTGTTTTTGTTTTGTGTAACAGATCAAGCCTTTAAATTATGACACCGGTCACTTTGGGTACCAAACGTTTTACATTAATCGTTTTGTCTTACATACACTAGAAAACAATGTTAATGCAAACAGTCAAAAAAAAAATATTGAAAAAAAGTACACAAATTATGGATTTAAAATGAAAGTTACAGATAAATTTAAAATGTGCCTCGGATATATGTTTAAAATTTAGTTTTGAATTGTTTTCATTTATAACATTTTAAATTGTTAATAAGATCATTACAGTTTGGATAAAAAAATGTTTCTCTGCCGATAGCACACACTGTAAAAAACATTTGTTATTAATATGTTAAATGTAAACAAAGCAAAGTTTGCTTAATCTGTGTCGGTTTTTGTAGAGAGGGCTTTATGTCTGCCGTATGTCTTCACAAAACTCCGTACAAAGCTAAACTCTGAAACCCTACAACAGATTTTAATTGTAAAACTGAACAAAGAATTACTTAACAATATACAACAAGTAAACAACTACTTGACTCTTTAAATTTACTATTTAGATGTCGTGCTTCTAAATTAAATATTTTGGGTATTCGATTGCACCTCTTGAGGAGCAAGGTTCCGGTTCATGGTTTTTATATTGCGAATTAAACGAAAAAAAAAAGAAAGTGGTTAAAAATCATTCATTTTGTTAGTTTTAGCGAACTTTGCGTACAATTAAGCCTTGTATTATGCAGATTCGTCATAGTTGTACATATATGGCAAACAGAACGTTTTAAAAGGAATTTAATTAAATAATTAAGCACAAAACTAATGATATTGAAAAGCAAACAGTTACACAATTTTTTTTGTCACTTGAGCACTTAAGCACATTTTCTTCACTTTGTATGTTTATAATTTAGTTTTGAATTTTGTTTAATTTATAAAAGTTTAAATTGTTAATAAGATCATTCCAGTAGCGAACAGTTTGGATAAAGAAGTGATTTTCTGCCGATTCTTAAATTAGCACACACTGTAAAATAAACATTTATTAACATGTAAAATGTAAACAAAGCAAGTCAAAAAAAAAAAAATTGATATGACGGAAAGCAAGAAGGTCTTGTTTGAAAATGACGCATTCTTAGCAGAAATATATTATATGGAGATCCTCGCATTAATTTTTATTAAAGCTTACACAACAAAGAAACGGCCATGGAAAGAAAATAATTTCTAACTAAATTATATTTTAAACCACACACATAATTTGATTTTCTTTTAGAAAATGCTTTTTTCTATTCACGAAACAAACAAAACAAAAAAGAAATCCAAACCGATCGACGACAAACCATGCACTTCATCAAAGAGCCGATTTAGTATCCTAATAGAAGACTCAACCCTTTACGGCCCGACTGATTCCAGCTCTATGGAGATTATACTTTTACACATGCAACACAGGGACAGACTGGACATGTGATCCAGTACTGGAAGCTATACGCAGAAAATTAACCAAGATTGGGGAAAATAGCCGAGTTTGCATTATCTGTGCCGGCTACGTAAGTTTTTGCTTTAATGCGCTGCCATCTGTGGATCATTGTGATGGAATTCCATTGTTGAGGATAATAGCCTCATTGCATCATGCTGTTAAGTACTACGGTGAGAAAGTATACTGCACAACTCGGCTATCTATAATCGCGATTTTTTTTATATTGACATTTTATGACTCTTGTAACTTCTTCTGATTGGAATATGATAGGCGGGATTGCTTCATGATTGTCGATAATTGGGAGCACAAAGTTATTTGTTGCTGAAAGTGGTCTAAAGACGTTTTCTAGGTGAACGGCAAATGTATTTGCCCTCTCTTCGTTGCTGTGAGCCCAATCTCCTGTTTGTGTATGTAAATGTGATTCACTCCCGATTGGTGGGCATATGCCTTATTAAGCTTTCCACATTGGATATCGTTTACTGTTTGGAGAGATTCGCTCCATAAAGGATACTTGAGCTCGATTTTTCTCAGAGAAATACCAGACTCTAATGCTTCTACTGGGCTGTCGATGTCTTCTAGCCAGAAATGATTGGACAGTCACCAATGTGTCCGCTTACATACTTTCTTTATTTCAGCCAATCTGTTTGCCTGGGCGTACTGAAAGCTTTGTATGGTCATAGAGGTGGAGAGTAAGATTGGAGAGTGATCTGATGATAGATCTGATCGGAAGTGGAGAAGCGCGGTGGACAGCCGCTTTGAGTGTCTATGTGTATTGATGGTGCTTGTGTATAAGTTGTTGCAAATGATGGCAATTGGTAATGCCTAATGCAAACCATAACAAAGCCATTAAGTTGATAATAATTTTTGTTCGTTAAGTGAGTCTCTGGTATACATAAGCATGACTTCAATGTCATATTGGTCCAATAACTGTAAAAATAATATTAGCGAAACCATCTCAACTCCAACACAGTGACGTCGGCTTCCTCGCTTCTGCTGAGGTCCTCGTCGTCTTCATCTGCCGTCATCGTTCGCATTCCTCTGCGTAGCGAAGCGTCAGTCGAATAAACGTCCTCCGACTTATCCTCTACGGGTGTCTCGATCTCGTCGGCAAAGACCTGCTCGGCTGGGTTGCCAACCAGTCTTCCTTCGTCCCCTTTATAGATCCTTATCCGGATCGCGTTGAAGCCGAAGTTCAAGACCCCGTGAGCAGCCTCTGTTGGGGGAAACTTACTCCTAGTACAGCACGACTATGACCTGGCTGATCGGCCCTTCACTTTTACGACCTTCCAGTCGTGCTTGGGAAGATGTGGGTTGCACCTTTGCAGCATGAAGAGGATGTCCTTTGGGGTCTTAATCGTGAACGTCAACCAGATCCTCGCTCGTGGTCTACAGGGGACGTCACACCAGTCAAGTGCGACGATTTTTGTCCAATCGTAAACTGTTCAAGCTGCGCTGTCGCCTTGTGAAGGTCAGCTGATCTCTGACTGTCGGAGGCCACCACCTTGACACTGTCCTGGAACCATCACGTATCCCTGCAGAATTGCGAGTTTTGTGGGAAGTCCCGAAACAGTGCAATAAAAAAAACGCCCACTTCCTTCCACTTTTTCCTTGGGATTCAAGCAGAACTCTGTCTTGCGTAATGTCCGCAAAAGATAGGGCTGGTTGGACCTTCGAATATTTCGCTGCAGGTCCAGGAAAATGTAATGATAGCTTTCTCTTTGGATCTTTATCGCCTTCCCCGCCGCCCCCGGATAAGCACTCTCCTTCCGGCGTTGATCAATTCGCTCCAGGTTGCTGCTGCAGGTTCCGCTCGGGGTGCTCGTGGTTCCTTCTGCTGCCGTTGCCTTGGCGGCTATCAGGGCTTAGGGGTGCGTCAGAGTTCTCAGACTAGGGTGAACAGGCACTGTGCTCTCATGGTACTCCTTTCGCAGGCGCAGCCGCCTGTCCCTTGCTCTGTCCCTGCCGGTCCCACCGAACGCCTGCTCAGTTCTTACCTGACAGTTCAGGCGTACACCGGAAGACGGCAATGTAGTCCTCAAGACAAACTCTAGGTTCTAGATGAACCGTGAACTTGTAAATGTTGAAACCACCGATAGCTTGCTTCTCGATGCTCGCTTGACGCTCGTCGTCCTCGATGTCCTCACTCTGCTCCCTGGTTCGAAGTCCAGGCGCTGCTCCTTGCTTGCTCCTGCAGGGCAATCTCGGGATTCGGTCAACTGCTGTTCTAGGATTCTAGTGGTGAACTGCTGTGCTCTTAACGCAAACGCCTTTAGACACCAGACGAACAAACTCGCGTCCTTCGTGGCTAGTCGCACAAGCGATCAGGCGTACACTGGACTTCGCCAATGCGATCCTTTTAACAAGGCAACTAGTTCTAGAAAGTTTCCCTTCATATTCCACGGTTCCTTGTCGAAGGACTCTTTTTGTGGAACTCTGCCTGACACGCCGGGCAATACGCCAAGCTCAAATCGAGACAGAAAATGTAACAAAGCGCCTTGATTTACCCGCAAAAAACCCGAACACACCCGAAATCTGCTGCTAAGAGCCCGGGAGTCTGTCGCAGTGTTGGTAAAAAGTTAAATGCAACCGTGTGTGGTTGCTACATAATATCAGTTACGTTAAATTCGAATTCAAAACTTATAATTATAGCAATAGATCTCCTCCAACATTCTCCCCCCGTTCTTTAAGATTAAACTGCGGGGAGGAGAGCGAGTTTTCAAATCGGCGACGCGCACGGCTCCATCTCGTCCGGTGATAACATTGGTCACTCTTGCAAAGAGCTATTGTTGTGGAGGCATGTTATCTTCTTAAACGATGAAAGCTGGACCACCTGCGGGGTATATTGGCATTGAGTTAAGAATAGCCTCCAATTCTATGAAAACGGTTTGAAGCTCTTCCAGATTAAAATTTGCATCTTCGCCAATTTGACCGCGGCTTCCCAAGTTCCACCGAAATCGGGTGACCTGGGGGGTATAACACAAAATTCATATCTTTTTCAACTACTATATGAATGAAAAAAGTTTATTGATACGTCATTAAGCATTTGATCCTTGAATTGTGTTTAATTTATAAAATTTTAAATTGTTAATAAGATCATTCCAGTAGCGAACAGTTTGGATAAATAAGTGATTTTCTGCATTTATTATTAACATTTATTAACATGTAAAATGTAAACAAAGCAAGTCAAAAAAAATATTGACATTACGGAAAGCAAGAAGATCTTGTTTGAAAATGACGCATTCTTAGCAGAAATATATTATATGGAGATCCTCGCATTAATTTTTATTAAAGCTTATACAACAAAGAAACGGCCATGGTAAGAAAAAAATTTCTAACTAAATTATATTTTTAACCACACACATAATTT